CCTTCCTTTAGTGGCCAAATTTGTTTCTTTTTATCCACAGTTTCAAAATTTTCAAATTTTTCATATACTTGTTGCATTTCTTGTATATTCTGTTCAGTTTTGGATTCTACATCAATCACCATCTCCTTAAAAGAAGCATCAAGCTTATCAAAGCGCTTTTTTTGTACAATTGAGAAGATTTCCTGTTGTCTCAACATCACCTCTTGGGAAATTTGTAAAGTTGTTAAAGATTCTTGTATTTCCAAAAAAAATCTCTTTAGCTCTACCATTGTTGCAAGATCACTAGCGGTCAGACGGTTGGCAAGTTGCCAAATACTTTGGCAGAGGTCCCAGAAACGCAGACGAGGAAATGGAGATTCTTATATCCTTCCTCTTTTCTCCCTTTTCTCTTTTTTTATGCCAATTAACAACAGATACAGTTTTTCCACAAGTAGTATTGCAAAAGGAAAATAGAAATGCTCACCCAAACAGTCGTCACATTAAAGAAGAAAGCATCTGACAATGTGAAAAATATCCTGGCAAGTGTCCAGTTGATCTTGGCAGAAGTCCAAACAGATATCCAAAATGATTGGTCATGTAATTGCACCTTAAAAATTTAAGCTAATTTTATACCCTTAGAGAGGTTAGAGGAAAAAGTCTTTTTCTTCGGCTTCAGCTTGGACAAAAGCCTCAGCACTCTCTCATCTCAGTCGCCGCCTAAACATCCGGTGGGTTTTTCTTTTCTTAATGCCAAATTATAAACAAATGCAGCTTTTCCACGGGTAATATTTCAAAAGAAATAAAAAATATTTACTCAGCAGTTCCAATGCTTATCTAGCTAATAAAAATCCTAAGCTAATCTCCTAAGATGTCGAGAACTTGAAGGGGCTGATACCACCCCCTGTGTTACTCGGTTGAGAAGTACCTGAATTGCTCTCAGCAGATATGAGATTGCCATCTCACATCAGGCCAAAAGCGTGCCCAGGCAATCTGTCTTCACCCCGACAGGGCTTAGATGAGTCTCCCACAACTCGCTGCCGAGTAATACCGGTGTGATAAACGAACTCTGTTAATCACATCTGTCTCGTTCTGACGCCATCTTGGAATCAGTTAATTGACTCTTCATCAGCTTCTATTCCTCTGTGAAGAAGGGTGGGGTCTTTTAATGATTAGCTTCCTCTTTCCAGCAAGTGCAATTCCTCATAAAAGCACATTTTTAAAAAATTGAGATGGTGATAATACAATAGGAAATGAAACAGATTAAATGAGCAAAGTCTGCACACATTTTTCTCTCTCTTTGTATGTTCGATCTTGGGATGGCAGTGCCAGCATACTTATTCAAGCATATGCTGGTGGGACCTGAACTAGCAGTGACTGAGCAAGAAAGGGATCTTGGGGTAGTGGTAGACAACTTGGTGAAAATCTCAGCCCAGTGTTCATTCGCAAACTCCATGCTAGGCATAATTACGAGAATGGAACCAGAAATAGAGCTACCGAAATCTATCTTCTCTTACACAAATCTTTGGTGCAGATGCACTTGGATTATTGTGTTCAGTTCTGGTTGCCTTACCTGCAAGAGAACATTGCTGAGTTGGAAAAAATACAGAGAAGTGTAGCAAAAATGGTCAGGGGGCTGGGGCAGCTCCTCTGTGAGGAGCGGATACAACTGGGACTGTTCAGCTTAGAAAAAAGGCACGTAATGGGAGACATGACAGAGGTGGTCATGGTGTGGTGTGGATGGTGTGAAGAAAGTATGGAGGGAGACGTTTTTCTCCCTCTTCCATTACATTAGAACCCCAGGACATCCCATGAAGCTGATATGGGATAAGGAAATTATTTTTTACTTAATCATTCTGTTTTGTTGGATATTAGATTACAGAGCATCAACAAAACAATTAGAGAATGAGTACAAATTGACTGAATACAGACTGGTAAAATATCAGTTGACTGACAGAGTTTCTTCTAGTGCCCGGTAGAACTGCAGGTAATCTTTTGGTGAAATTCACTTCTCCTAGGAAGTTGTCCATCTGCGGGGGGGATTGAATTGATTTTTTTGAACACAAAATATCTAGACATTGATTTTAAATCAGCTTATTGAATGAGTAGTGTTTCATTTTCTCTTAGAATGCTATGGAATTTTTAAAATATCGAACACATTGATTAGAAGCTAAACTTATTCCAATGGTTATTTGAAAATAAATATTCCACTTGCAATAATAAACTGTGTGTGTGTGTGTGTGTGTGTGTGTGTGTGTGTGTGTGAGAGAGAGAGAGAGAGAGAGAGAGAGAGAGAGAGAGAGAGAGAGAGGAAGATTCCCATTCCCAAACATTCAAAAAGTTGTCCAATTTTCTTCTTGCCCCATTGCTGTGAGAATCAAAATGACAGTGAGGAGTAAGTCTGCCTCTGCATCAACCAGGGCCAGCTCTACCCTTGCTGGAGTGAGGTGGCAGCCAGCACTTTCTTTGCCAGCACTGAAGCCCATGCACGCTGCTGTTTGAGCACATCACCTCTGACAGCAAAGGTATTTTGTGCCAGCCTTGGAATCTATGGCAATTCCCCACCTTTCCCGGCTTATGTCTGAGTCCTCAAAGGCCAGGCAGTTGGAGGGGACAGCTGCCACCATGCCAAGGGCCCCCTTGGTGGACTTCAGACATGGGGACATTACGAAGTGTTAACTCGTGGCCTTCTGCGTGTTTCTTCTTGTGCCCAGTTTTCAAGGGAGCATCAGTGATCTTCCTAAGAATACAGTATGATCCAGGTGTCCCGGCAGCCACATCGCCTTTCTCCCCTTGCAGAGTGGGCTGGGTTCTGCATCCTGGATTGCCACCTACGCCTTACACAGCCATGCACTCTGCAGCAGCTGCATGGGGTAAGGTGGGGAAATACTCATGGGGAGGCTGTTGCAGGAAATGGAGATGGGCTGATTGCTGAAATGTTTCATGGTTGCCTCTCCCAGCCTGATGCCCTCCAGATGTAATGCACCATCTTCTCATCATCCACAGCCATCATGGCCATCCTGGTCGGCCATGATGGGAGTTGGAGTCCAGTATATCTGCAGGGCATCACCTCAGGGAAAGCTGCCCTACAGCTCTACCTGGCCTGAGTGTGCAGCTCCTTTCTTTGGCTCAGATGTCAGTGCTGGCCTCACGCCACACCATCCTCACTGTCAGTGTTTTCTCTTGCACATTTTCCTGCACAATCACCACAAGGCACACAGCCAAGCACAGGGGACGAAGCACTCTAGGATTCAGTGGCTCTCATCCTCCTTGTTTGCCTGCCCCATGGCTTCTCTGGGATATAGGAGCTCTTTGGAGGTGGAGATGCATGTCAATCCCATCAGCAGGATCACATGAAAAGGGGGTTAGGTCCTCTTAAAATTCAAGCTGACCTATGTGGACTTCGCTCCAGCACTAGCCTCTTCTCTCCACCTTTGCACTTCATCCGCACAAAGCTGAAAGTGCAGCTGGGAATGATCTCCCACCTGCCAGGCCACTGAGAATTAAGGGAGGCAACCGAGTCATAGGAGTAGCCATAAGAGCTTTTGTATTTGAGCGATACTATAACTAGAACTAACTGGCTTGTGATGCTCAGAGGCAGGATGTGAGAAGCCAAGTAAAACCCAAAGGAATGGCGAGCAGGGCAGGAAGCAGACATGCACCCTTTGGGTGGGGAGCTAAGGAAGCCACCATTGTAGCTGCCTGGATCTCGGCTTGCCGCTTTGGCCGAGGCACAGCCCTGGATTTGGAAATGTCCTTGCAGGGTCCTGGTGTGGTATCAACAATATCTCGAATGAAGCTTGTTTCGTTTTTCACCAGTTCCTGTAGAGGAGAAAAAAGGCAGGTTGCTTACCTGTAACTGTCGTTCTTTGAATGGTCATCTGTGCATCACACATTATGGGTGCTGTGCCTGTGCAGTGTCTGTTTCCGGGAAGATTTGAGAGCTTTAACAGTTTTTGGCAGGAACTCTGCACCCCCTCCCCCCTGGTAATATAAATAGTCGGAGTTCCCACCCTTTCCATTCGCCCCCAGGTGGAGCTGGCTGGTATTGAACCCAGCTCATAAGGGAGAAAAAGTATAGAAACAACACACACACACACACACACACACACACACACACACACACACACACACAGTATACCCAGTCACTGACACCAAGTGGGGCCAGTGGGTGGGTTGTGTGAATGCATGGATGACCACTCGAAGAACGACAGTTACAGGTAAGCAACCTGCCTTTCTTCATTGTGGTCTCCCTGCATCACACATTGTGGGTGATTAACAAGTTTCCCACACCCGGACGGTGTTGTCACTGGAGAAGTGAGGACGGTGTGGCCGAAGGAGCAATCCTGTCTGACCTTGACGTCCAAGTAGTAGTGCTTCGTGAAAGTGCACAGAGTAGACCATGTGGCCGCTTTGCAGATATCTTGTAAGGGGATGCCCACATGGAGGGTAGAAGAAGCAACGACAGCTCTTGTGAAGTGTCCTTTTGGAGTAGCAGACAAGTCCAGTTTGACAGGCGGTAAGCCAGTTCAATTGTCTCGATCCATTTCAAAAGTCTTTTGAGTAGTAATAGGAGCTCCCTTGTTATGGTCTGAGAATTTGATGAAAAGCCATTTGGTTTTCCTGAATGACTCAGTTTGGGATTGATAGAAGGCTAAACATCTATGGATGTCCAGGCTATGTAGAGAGTGTTTGATTGGTGTAGACAGAGCAGGGAAATAGGCCGGTAGAACAATGTCCTGATTAAGGTGAAAAGGAGTCACGACCTTGTGCAGGAAGGTTGGATCGGTTCACAGGACTACTTTCTCCTTGTGGAAATTTAGGTATGGAGGGTCGACACAAAGGGCACACAGTTCGTTGGCTCTTCTGGCCTGCGTAATAGCTACTAAAAATGCTGTTTTCCAAGTGAGAAGGCAGAGATCTGTTGTAGCTAGTGGTCCAAATGGAGACTTAGTGAGAGCCTGTAGGACGACAGAGAGACTCCATGTTGGGACTACTGATCGGGTCGGTGGTCGAAGGTTTTCCTGTCCTTGTAGGAATCGATGCACAAGATAATGCAAGAATACAGATGAACCTCCAATGCATCCTCGATGATGCTGGATAGCTGCATTATACATCTTAATGGAGGAAGGTTTAAGACCCCCATGGTGTAATGAGAGTAGAAATTGTAGGATACTCTCAATGGTAGCAGATTGAGGTAGAAATTGGTTAGCAGCAGGAAAGGAGGTGAAGCGCTTCCATTTTGCATTATAGGAGCGCTGTGTGGTCAGTTGTAGTGCAGATTGGAGAATAAACTGTATATCAGGATGAAGATTCATCAGGTCCAAGGCAGACGTCAGTATCAATGTCAATGCCAAAGGCAACATTGGTCTGAAAAGTCCTGAAGTAGATGTAAAAAGAACAGGCGCTGATTCTGAAGAAAGTGTATGTATCAAATCCAAGGAATGTCGGTATTGATGCAGGAGGAGAGGACGATTTTGATGATAAAGACATAGAAACAGTCTGTGACTGAACCAGGCAGTGAGATTTAGAGAATACAGGTCCAGATGTTAAATGGCACCCTGTTCCTGAGTGAGAAGATGGGGAACTTGAGGTAGATGAAGAAAGTTGTTGTATGATAGTTGAAGAAGAGTGGGGAACCACTACTGACGGGGCCACAAAGGGGCGATGAGAATTCCATGAGCGGCTTCTTGCCAGATTTTGGTTATGGCCCTCGTTATTAATGGTATTGGTGGGAACGTGTAGAAGAATTTGTTCTCCCACAAAATCATGAGCACACCCCGATTGAATCTGGGCCGATGGCCACTCGGGAGCAGTATGTCCTGCAGACGGAGTTGTCGTGAGTCACAAACAAGTCTATGTCTGGTGTTCCCCAGTGTTGAAACAGATGTTGACAAACTTGTCGATCTTGTTCACTGTGTGTCCTCGACATGTGTCTGCAGAGGGAGTCAACTTCCTTGTTGTTGGTGTCTGCGAGATAGACAGCTCAAGGAGTAATCCTGTGGGCAATGCATCAGTTCCACATGCAAAGGGCAAGGTGTGTCAATGGTACCAACTTCGTTCTGCCTTGTTTGTTTATATAAAACACAGTCACAACATTGTCCGATGCTATCTGGACCATGTGGTCTTGGATGGTTTGGAAGGAACGCAGTGCTTTGAAGACCACCAGCAATTCCAGGTAGCTGATATGTCTGGTGGTCTTATGTCCATGCCAGGTGCCTTGGGTCCAAAAAGATGCGCAGTGGGCACCCCATCCAGTCAGGGAAGTGTTAGTATAAAGTGTCACAGTTGGTTCCGGTGCATGGAATGGAAGTCTGCAGGAGAGATTGGTATCAATAGTCCACCTCCTGGACCACTGGTGGCCTCATAATTCGAGATCTGATGACCGAGTCCCATTGTGGAGTAGATTCAGTGAAACACTATTTCTATTTTTCAGCTTTCTTTATCAGCCAGAGTAGAATGTTCCTTAGTTTGCCTGACCTGTGAAGACTCGATGACTATCGAATTTGGCTGAGGATGTTTTAGCAGGAATGGGATGTCTTGCTCTCAAACTTTATACATTGCCTCTAAACATCTGAAGGTGGGATGTGGGTGGTTCGGGAGCTGCCAGGTGTCAGTCATTGCCTGTCAAAGGATAGTGATAAATGGCAGGGTGATGGGCGAAGAATCCTCTTTATGAACGATGTCGTAGATGTTGTCTTGGTTGGCATCTATGCATTGTTGAATGTTGATCTCCAATGATTTTGTCATCTGTGCGAGTAGCTAAGAGAAGCTACCCTGGGAGTCACCCAGAGACCCAGGACCTTGGGTGGAGATAAGTAGAGTAGAGACTTGTTGGGAGTCCTCCAAATCTGAGTTGGATTCATAGAGTGGACTAGATGAGGACCCATTGGGAGATGTTGGTGGACGGGTGAGTGCCACAGCAGATGTTGATGGGGCGACCCTCAATACTGAGTGAGGGGTGGAGTGATGAGGATGCATTGATGGTGGTGGGTAATATCCGTTTGGGGGGTAGCAATCCCATGGATAGGGTTGCTCCATACGGTCAGGGTTGAATTCTCCATAGGGTAGAGGAACCCAGTACTGTGATGGTTGTGGGGCAGAAGGCTGGGGTGATAAGAGGGATGACGAGTGTTGAGGTGCCCTCGGAGAGCCCTTCTTAGGACACTGGTTTCGATGATTGCTTGGACCTGACATGCTTCCTCTTCTCCTTATATTTGCGAGGAAGAGAATGACAGGAACGCTTTCCATCCGTGCTGACAAGATCCCCTTTGGATGAGCAAGTGGGGGATGGATTTCAGTGGTCCCAAAGCCATGGAGGAGGTGGCCTCAGCTGAGACCTGCTTCATGGCGACCAGTGCTTGGTCCCATAACATTTTGCGCAGCCTATTCTCGCGGTTTTTGCAAGCCTGCCTGGTAGTGGCTGCACTTGTCAGTCCTGTGCACTTCTCCAAAGCAGAGAAGACACAGATTGTGCGGATCAGTGGGAGACAGTTTGGCTCCACACTGTGAGCACTTACAGAAGGCCACCCGCTGTACCATCGAGAAAAAGAGAGAGAGAAAGACAGCGAACAGAGATAGTTTGTGGAGAGGTAAGGATGACAGAGGGATGGATGGATGGAGATGGTAAGGGTGGACAGCAGGATTTTGGGTATATAGTGGAGTTTAAAGAGAAAGAAAAAGTTTATAAGATTAATGATTGAGAAGACGAGGAGACAAGCAAAGAAAAAGGCCCAAGGCACAGCAAATGATGGTCACCAGCAGACTGGGGAATGGGCAGGCGCTCTGACCATTTATATTACGGGGGAGGGAGAGAGAGGGCACAGAGTTCCCGCCAAAAACCATTAAAGCTCTTAAATCTTCCCGGCAACAGGCACTGTGCAGGTGCAGCACCCATAATGTGTGATGCATGGAGACCGCAATGAAGAATGTGAAAGATACATCAGCTTGTTGTGCTACTTGGGAGGCTGTATTTGGGCCATGTGGTCCCGTCAGGACAGAGATGCATGTGACATTCTGATGGTGGAGTGGGGAAAGTTGGGCATCATTTGAAAGAAAGAATTGATGGTTAACAGTGCAGATTCCAGAGCCAATTTGCTGTCCTGACTTTTCTAGTCTGAGCAACTTCGTTTGGAACAATGTTGTGCAGCTGCAAACATGCTCGCGCCATGCCATATTCTTGGACCAGCAGAAGCCCAAGTTTTGGCTTGGGCACAATCACTGAGTACATGTTGGGGACACACTAGAGAGCAGCCCACCCATACTGCTTCTGCCAAGACTTGAATCGACAGCAGCACCTGGACCTGTGAGAGGCTGCCAGGCAAAGGATCAGCTTGTGTACCATCACCAAGCACCAGCTAGACCATCAAGGAACGACAAGCCAGAGCACTATATGCCACATTGTCTCTCACCCCATACACTTTTTAGATCAGATGTTCAGCGGTGGGGGAATTCTTGTTTTTGAGCTTGTTTTTTCCCATCATTCTGACAGTTGCTGGGCTCCACTTATTTGGCTGTATGAGTTTTGGAAATAGCCTCTTTTCCTTTCCCCAGTACATTTTCCACCTTCAGGGAAAATTTTCCACCATAAATATTGACTTCCCTCTTGGAAAATGGAAATTGCAAACAGACCCCAGGACTTTACTTGTTGCCAGGACTTGCTCGCTGAACCATTTCTGATGTTTCAACTGATTAGGCTGTATGCAACAAATATGCAGAGCTGCTTACATCAATGGTTTTGACTAACATAATCTGGTCTGCCTCTTTGCATGCCTTCTCTGCCTTCTGGACGGTCTCCTTGTCCCATTCCACCAGGTTAATGGCCATCATTCCTTCCGTTGCACTGCAGCAGAGAAATCGAGGAGAAAGGTTGCCACAGGTGTAGAGAAGGGGGATGGAAAAGCAAGGCCATGGATAACAGAGCTGGCACCATGGGAAGGTAACGACGGCTGAAGATCTTCTAAAGAAGCTGTTGTTGACTACAGTACCTCTCATTCCCAGCTAGTATGGCCAAAAGTCATGGGAGATAGAAGCCAAAATTTAAAATTCTCTGGCAACCTAAGGCTCTTGGATTTGAATGCACCTCCTCTACCCGCAAATCACGCAAATAAGTGCACAAGCTGCTTCGACCACCCTTGAGAATGTCTGCCTGTCTTCAGCCTGTGGCATGATTTCAGCTCCGTTACCCATCCCAATCTGCACTATCCCTCCAGCCCAAAAGCACTCACTCTGCAGCCTCCTGGCCAAGTTGTTGAGCAACATATTGAATGTCTGGGTATCCTTGGCAGCTGGAGATGAAGTTGCGAGGATAGTAGAAGAGGAATACCAGGCACATTTCATTCAGGGTGCTTGGCCCTCCCTGAGAGAAAGAGGGAGAATAATACCAAATTCATCCAAGATGCAATGGAGGCAGTTATCAGCTTGACCTATGGCTATGAGGTAAGATAAGCTACTAGGACAATGAACTGTGTGAGGCTTATGCGAATGGGGCGGCATATCAGTTCTCCAAATAAAATTAAAAAATAAATAAAAAAATAAGTTAGTTCAGAAGTAAGCATTGCTCACATATTACAGATACAAACTGGATTCCAGTTCTAACCACATTAAGTTTGCAGTGTAACAGCAGCTAATGTGCTGCTATGGATAAATATCGATATATACAGACATTTGCTGGTAAGAAACGTGGAATCAGTGTAGTCAATTTTCCCATTCCATTGATTTCTGGAAGCACCCTGTCCTATACATGTATGCCAGTGAGACAGGCAGGGCTGGCCCCAGCTCTGTTCAGTGTACGCTTCTTTGCAGAGTGGGCACCTCATGTTTGCTGCCCCCACTTTTCCCCACCAGCAAGTTTGTGTTTAGGAGGAAGGATGGTGCCATTGTCTACTTTGCACAGTGAACAAGTATTTTTTAAGGAGTTTGATACAATAGATGCATCATGCCCTGTGGCATATAAGTAACTAAGCTATGTGGTTTTCTGTCATCTTTCAGTAAGCTGCCATGCTATTTGACCAGGAGAGATTACATGACAAAAGAAATGGGTGTGCACACCATTGGCAACAGTTAGAAGAGGACCAGTCTGTCACGTATGTTTTCTCTGTTCCTCATTTTTCTAGTCTTAAGTTTTTGTTCTAGTACTACATCATTTTGGGGCTTGTAAATAAAGTCTGTGAAAAGTTAATTTTGTTTTTGCACTTATTTTTTCAATATGCATATTTTGTATGCAATTTTGTCTAATGTGCACATATTTGCAAGCAGTTTCCTATACAATACTGTATTTCTTAGAAGTATATTACTTCAGTACGATTTGGTATGTCCTTTCCTCCTTGCCAATATATGGGGGGGGGGGTTGCTCATTTTTTGTTGGAAGAACAGCTTCACAAACTTCTGAATACTGAATGAAGAAGGAAAACTACACAATCTTGTGGGAAGTTTGAGTTTGTCCAGCCCATATTGAAATGCAAATCAAATCAATCCTTTTGCACTGCTAGCACACCAGTCTTGAATCTTATCAGAACAATGGCTTGTCTCCAACCTTAAGGTAAACTCTTTGGGTACAATTCATAATAGACTGCCTTTCTTTTAGCAACCAAACAATTATGAAGTGGTTCATTCAAGAGCTGAGTGAGGCATTTTCAGCGTTGGTACAACTGAACTTGCACCTCATTGGAAATAAGGGATTCTTTATCTGTGTGCTCCACTCATATCTCCATCAGTTTCAGTTCTAGCTTTGCATTTGTCCATGTAAAAGCAGGTTGCTTACCTGTAACTGATGTTCTTCGAGTGGCCATCTGTGCAGTCACACATATGGGTGCTGCGCCTGCGCAGTGCCTTTGGCCGGAAGATTGCAAGCCAACGGTTTTTGGCGGGAAGCTCCGCTCCCCTCCCCCATGGGCTATAAAGAGCGGAGCGTCCGCCATTTGTTCAGTCTTTGACGACCAAACGTGCGCCCCCTTGTGGAAAAATTCTCAGTATGAGATAGGAAAAAAGGGATCGGTACCAAGAAAAAATGGGAAACTTTCGGTACCGATGAATGAGTCCACTCACCGACACCGAGCGGGGCCGGCGGGTGGGTTGTGTGACTGCACAGATGGCCACTCGAAGAACATCAGTTACAGGTAAGCAACCTGCTTTTCTTCGTCGTGGCCTCTATGCATCACACATATGGGTAGATTAACAAGCTTACCATCAAAGGAGGAGGGAAGGTGTCCTTATTGTAGGACGGAGGAGAGTACAGCTCTACCGAAAGAGCAGTCCCATCGAGCCCGAACATCGAGACGGTAGTGCCTGGCGAAGGTGCAAGGGTTCGCCCAAGTAGCGGCTCGGCAGACGTCATCGATCGGGACTCTGGATGCGAATGCAGAAGACGTAGCGACAGCTCTAGTGGAATGGCCTCGGGGAACTGTAGGCAGTTCAAGCTTAGCTAACTGATAGCACAAGGTAATAGTGTGGACTATCCACTTAGAGAGCCTTTGAGGAGTGACTGGGTCGCCCTGATCTCTAGTTGAATATTTAATGAACAGTTTATTGGATCGCCGAATAGACTCCGTTCGCGATCGATAAAAGGCTACACAACGCCGAACGTCGAGGGAGTGCAAGGATCTTTCCAAGGGATTTGATGGCGATGGAAAAAAGGCAGGCAGTACAATGTCTTGTCCTGTATGGAAAGGTGTAGAGACTTTGGGCAAGAAAGATGGGTCGAGACGTAGAACGACCTTTTCTCTGTGGAAGTTCAGATAAGGGGGGTTGATGCGGAGGGCACAAAGCTCACTAGCTCTCCGGGCTGACGTGATAGCTACAAGGAACGCCGTCTTCCACAAAACTAATCGGAGATCCACAGTCGCCAAAGGTTCAAAGGGGGCCCTCATAAGGGCCTGTAGAACTACAGAAAGGCTCCACGTGGGCATAACCGGTCTAATCAATGGATTAAGGTTATACAGTCCTTTCAAAAATCTCTTGAGAATAGGATGAGAAAACAGGGATGATCCGTCGACTAAGCCACGGTAGTAGGCTATTGCGGCCATATACACTTTAATAGAAGACGGCTTCAGTCCGGAGTGATGCAACTCCAGAAGGAACTGAAGAATTTGTTCAATTGATGAGACAAGTGGGGAGAACGAATGAGACTCGGCGAAGGCGGAAAACCGCTTCCATTTAGCTGTATCTGACTTTCTTGTGGACGGCTTTAGAGCAGTGTCGATAATATGCTGAATCTCAGGGTGCAAGAGCGTTGGATTCGAATTCGACGGGGTTTGTCTCGAACCCGATGGTACAGAGAGATTGTGGCAGTGAGAAGCACCCGCATAGTTGGATTCAAGAATCGGGGCCGAAGCAGTCGAAGTGATCGTTGAAACCGATGAATTAATAGAAGCTGTAGGATTTGAGGCTCTCGAATCCGTTGCCGGCCCCAATGGAAGGTTAATCATCGAATCCGCCACGCTGTCAGATTCAATGAGAGCAAATCCGGATGACGAAGTGTGCCGTCCATTTGCGTTATAAGATACGGAAGTGACGGAAGATGAAGAAACTCCCCGCGGGAGATGTCGAGCAGTTTTGCAAACCACGGTTGGCGTGGCCACCAGGGGGCAACTAGTATCCCCGATGCACGGTCGCTCACTATCTTCGCTATGACCCTCATCAGAAGAGGGATCGGAGGGAAAGCATAAAAGTTGATGTTGTCCCAAGGGATCATGAATGCGCCCCCTAGGGATGCTTGTCCGATTCCCGCTCTTGAACAGTAAGCCTCGCACACCCTGTTCTGTTGGGTAGCGAATAGGTCCACATCGGGAAACCCCCAGCGCCTGAACAGGTGGTTGCGTGTGCGAGGATCCAGTTCCCACTCGTGCGAAGTGAAGATGTGTCTGCTGAGAAGATCCGCATGTACGTTGTCTGTGCCGGCCAGATGAACGGCTATCAGAGTAATGTGTCTCTGAATGCACCAGTCCCAAATCGTCATAGAAAGCCTGGCTAAGGTCGGTGACTTCGTCCCTCCTTGTTTGTTCAGATAAAAAACGGTCGCTATATTGTCCGAAGTTATCTGAACGATCCGATGACGAAGGAGGTCTTCGAAAGAATGAAGGGCTTTGAAGACTGCCAGCAGCTCTAGGAAGTTGATATGATTCGTGGATTCTAGGCGAGTCCACGTTCCCTGGGTAGACAGGCCAGAGCAGATCGCCCCCCATCCTAGGAGAGATGCATCGGTACCGAGAGTTATCGAAGGGGGTTGCGGCCTGAAGGGAACTCCCACCACGAGATTGGTCGGCTTCAGCCACCAGCACAGGGAGTGGAGCACGGAAGACAGGATCCGAATCCGTTTCGACTGTATCTTTGTGGATGATACACCTTGTTGAAAAATAATTGCAGTGGGAGAAGCCGAAGTCTGGCATGTGGAACTACGGCAACTGTGGAGGCCATATGCCCCAGGACCCTCTGGATGGATCTCGCCGTAACTGTTCCCTCTCGTCGAATTCAATGGATATGGCGAGCGAGAGTCTGCTGCCTGTCCTGAGGAAGGAAGGCTTTCTCCAATGTCGAATCTAGGCGAGCTCCAATGAAGGTGATCGTCTGTGTTGGAAGAAGAGAAGATTTCTCTGTATTAATACGTAGACCCAGACTATCTAGTAAGGCATGGGTTGTATGGATGGTGTCTACTAGTCCTTCTCTGGATTGCGAGACTAACAGCCAGTCATCGAGGTACAGGTAAACTTGTATGCCCTGAAGGCGTAGGAAGGCACAGACAGGAGCCACAGATTTGGTAAACATTCTCGAAGTTGAAGCCAGTCCGAAGGGTAAAACTTTAAACTCATAAAGTTGGTTTGCAACAGCAAAACGAAGGAAACGCCTGTAATTTGGATGAATTGAAATATGAAAGTAGGCGTCCTTCAGGTCCAGTGAGGTGAACCAATCCCCTCTCCTTAACAACGGCAAGATGTTTTGAAGGGTGGTCATACGGAACTT